CTTGCTGTTCTATTATTGTTAAAAAAAGAGACAACGGCCCAAAATGGCGTCACTGGTGTTAAGCCCACGTCAGGGAACTGAGACTACACTTAACTGCAGTTTCTGCCTTTCCCGGAATGTACCCCTCTTCCCGTCGGCCTGGAACTTCCCGTCTGCACTAGTGAGGCCGTCCCCCAAAGGAAGGTGACCTTGCCTGAAACAGGAACTCTTTGCTAGTAACTTCCTTGTCCCACCTCCTTATAAAAGTCTCCCATTTTGTTCAGCTCTTGTAGCTCCTTTCTGTCTGCTAGATGGGATGCTGCCAGATTCATGAATCCTTGAATAGTCTATTAGATCTTTAAATGTACTCAGCTGGACTTTTTTTTTTAACAGTATGCAACCTATCACAGGAAATTCTTGTGGTTTACATAGATTCAGTTCCCCTAAGAACAAAGAGAGAGGGTTTTTTCAGCTGGTACCTCTCACTCGAGGGTAGTGTCAGGTAGCTCCCAAGTCTGTAACTCCCAGGCATAACCACTTCCCAGCGAGTCCTCCTAATGGCCCTGCGAGGAGAAGCTTGAGAGCCACGCCCAGTTGCAGGGGTTCACGAGTTTGGAAGCCGCAGTCTGGGTCTGGGCAGCCATTTGCTCTCCCTGCTGGGGAGCTGTGAAGAGCAGGGAGAAAGCTCTTCTCCATCCTCCGGGCCCCTCCACAGTCAGGCCCTGTGGAGGCAGAGACCTTGAGTTTCTGCCTCCATTCATTTCAGCGGGCCATACAAATACTATTTGTATGAGGGCTGTGATGTTGAAAGATTTGGGCAGCACTGTCCTGGATAACAAGAGACCATTCATTGACTTGCTTCAGTCTAGCCCAGCAATTTCTTTACAATGGTAACTGAGGACTATGGGGATGAGATGCCTTGCCCAAAGTCACAGAGCTCCCAGTGGAGGCAGTATGGGGTAGGGTTAGAAAATAGACTTTAGGGGCAAACCCAAAAGAATCCTGGCTCTTCCATTTATTAGCTGAGACATTTTGGTTAAGTGACTTGATCTTCACTGAGCCTCAGTTTCCTCATCTGTAAAATGAAGCTAATGATGAGTATCCTTATCCTTAGAAAAAAGTACGATCATACATGTAAAGCACTGAGCAAAAAGGGCCTGGCACCTGTGATAAGTGCTCAATAAATGGTTGCTATTATTACTATTATTAGAACCCAGGTCTTCTGACCCTGACCTCCCAGTCCCGGCTCCCCATCTCCACTACATCATCCTGCTTCTTCAGAGGATTCCTGTTATTTACTGAGATGAACGCAACTATAAATAACTGGTATATGCAAAGCATAGTGGATGCTAAGTGTGGTTTTTCTTTCCCCTTGGGGAATCACGAATGTCAAGATATACAGAACTCATCTAGTCTTTCAGAGCACAGGCAGTACGCATCCCTGAGCCACTACAGAAGTCTTCCAAGGCGTAACTAAGGACCCACGGGGCATGTCCTCCTTTTGCTGTATCAAGACTTGTCAGTGCTCCTGATGGATGACCATGCAGACGGTTGAGAAGTAAAGAAAGCAACACAGCCCCAGTTTTGACACTGCAGAGGTCATGCAAGAATGACTCCAGTGGCTGCTTGTCCCATCCCTTCTATTATGGAGACCCAGATCAAGCACTTCAAAGGTTTTCCTAGCTGAACATGGAGAACCAGTCCCACCTCTGTAGGAGAATGCTTCATACCACATACAAAAGTCAAAGCTGTTAGAAAGGAGACTTTTATTTTCTTCTTCCCACGCTGTGGAAGGACATCATGTTCCCCAGCGTTATTTCCTCCCTCAAGAAGAAAAAGGATAGCAGTTCTCTGAGCCTCAGGGCTAAGCTGCTTCTCTAGGGACCTAGCCAACACAGGACAAAAAAGATGGTGACTGATTCCACATCGACCAGTAAACACATCAACTGCTACACAAGGGCAGGCAAGTGACTGGAAGTAAATTGTGGACTTGGCTTTAGGGACCAAGAATTTAAAGACTACGAGATAGTCAGAATGAAAAACTTAATAACATGTTATATGCGGTTAACCCCATAACCCACATCTGTGGTATTTTGGCCACTTAGAATCAGCAGTGTCTAAAAGGGCTACAGCCTCACAGCTCTAGTCCTAAGTACAGTCCTACCATTCACTTTGGCCTTGAGCTTCACAGCAGGAAGAGCGGGTTCCCTTGAGAGCAGCAGTTCTCAGCCAGGGTCACAGTCTCGAGGAAGATGGCAGAGGGCTCTGGACACGGGCCGGGATCCCTCTTTACAGAGCTCCCTCGGGGCCTCTCCAGGACCTTTTGATCCTGAAGCTGATTCCTCGTCAAAATCATTTGTGCTCTCAGCTTGAGCGGAGTACAAGGGAGTAAAATCAGCTCATCTGGAGTGTGAACTGGTGGACTACCAGGGGCCAAGACCCAGGAGGAAAGACAGGCCTCAACACAGCTTTTCCAAACGTGAGCTTTGATTATTTCTTTATTTGAAAAAAAAGTCAACGACCAAGCATATGGAGAAAAACACTGCTGTCCTGAACTCATTTTTTAGGAAAGGGCAACAGGGAAAACCAAAAGACACTTTGGAATTGATTAGATTTTCAAGATGATGAGTATATTTTTTAAGCATTAGGCTAAGTGGTTTGCTAACCTAGATGGTGCAAAAAAGTTTCCAGATAAAGAAGTCGGAGCAGACACTAGTACTTCAGGCAAAGTGGGAATTGCTGAGTGGAGAGGCAGAACAGCAGGGAAAGGCACTGCATCTTTCCCCAAAGATTAAAAAAAGGGGGAGGGAGCAAATGTTGCCCTCTTCCATCCAAGAATCTCAAAGCACTTGACTGTCTTCCATGTTTTATGATGAGGCTTGCCAGCAAACCCACCAGGACCAGGGCCGAGAATTCCCATTGCTTCTAGCTCTGAGGACTACTAAGAAGCTCTTGCTTGTGAAATGGTAAAGTTAGGGTTTTTGGTTTCGTGAAACATAGTTAAGAGACAGAGATGCCCTTAGAAAGATGCTCTTTAGGGGAAGAGATAAACTCAAACCACAATTACACTTGGCTTTGATACTTTGGGACTTGGTCTTTAAAATCTTTTCTTTTTTGAGCTCTCCTTCCAATGTTTTATATGGAATGTAATCAGAGATGCCAGCGTGGGAAAACTGTAGGTTGTATGATGCTCACATCAGGAAAACCAAATCCTTTCTCACAATGAAGAATAACCCATGCTTTTGCAACACTTGGTCAGTCCTCCCCTCTCCCTTCCCTCTAATGGACACCAGATGGGGGCATGGGAACCCTCAATGCCATGCTCCACCACACACCCTCTACACCAATCAGCAGGGCAGCACTCAGGCATAGAGATTTTTTAAAACTCCAATTTGATTCTGATGAACAGCCAGGGTGGAGCATCTCTCTCAGGGTTCTGGGCTTTATTTTTTTCATTCTCTCTTAATACCTTCATACAAATGAAACAACTGAACCACTTTAAGGAACCCTCGCATATATATGACAGAAGAGGCAGGAAGATTCTCCACACATAGCCAAGGTTAACCCTAGTTCTCAACCTCCTAACCCACGACAAAAAGGGGACAGGAATCTCTACCCTAAATTCAAAGGGCAGCTGAGGTTTCAGTGCTATTTAAAGAGTCATTTCATGTCGCTGTCATTGGGAAGGAATGAGACAGCTGCAGAGAGCATCACCAGAACCTCACTGATGGAGAGGTAGTAAGAATAGAAAAATAATAAGACTTGATGGGAGGAGAACAAAATACTGGATGGGCAGATCAGAAACAGAATCATCATCAGCCTCTTGCCACAATCAGGAAAAAAAACACAAAACAAGAAGATGTGCTGACATTGTGTATTGAACACTCCTCCCCACAGTCAGGAGACTTTTACATTGCAATAAACAGTGCGATCTGAGCGGCGGGAAACAAGAAGGAACGTGGGAAGCACCCACCTCCCTCTCATCTGTGTTATCCGCGTGCTCTCTTCCTAGGTAGCACCGTTCTCCCCAGGTGCTGGCTGAGGCAGGGTGGGGAAGAGGTGTGTGCACGTGTGCTTGCCTTTGGCCTCTGGAGGTGCCTGGAGAGCTCCGCAAACACCCGCTCACTCCTATGGCAGGCACTGGGGAATGAAGGGCTGGCTATTGGGCCTGTTCCTGCTCTAAGGCGACATCCTAGGAAGGCAGGGCCTGACAGGGCAGAAACAAGTCACTGAGCCCCAGCTGGTGACTGGATTTTCCAGCTGACGTTCAGCCACCTGTCAGCCTCCCTTCAGCCTCTACTGCTAAGGCTGTGTCCTTGAAGGCCTCGTCCTAATTGGCAATAAGGCAAGGAAGGGGGTGAACAACGGCGCTCTCGTGCAGAGGAGCTGCCCTGGCAGCCCCTTGCCTCCGTCCTTGTCTGACCCCTGCACACAGTGGTGCAGATGTGGCGTAGACGAGAGGCACACAGACCCTCCCCCAGCCCCCTTCACCACCTCCCGTTCCCCCACTCTGCGCTCTCCCTGATGGCCGCTAAGAAACACAATCTCCAAGTGACTTTGCATCCAGTTTATCTTGAGCCCTCACTGCTGTGTGGTCAGTAACACTGTTCCCACGAGACCTGCTCAGTCCTTACGGATGGAGTTGGTCAGGAGGTGGGAAGAACGGGCTTATTCTCCAGCAACCTGGGTCAAAGGCCAGCTCTCAGCCCAGTTTCACCCCCAGAAACCCTAAATACTGTCTGAGCACTCTCTGCAGAGTTCAGCTTGGAAACATGCAATCATAACTTCAGTGACATTCAACTAAAAGGCAACATCTTGATTAGGCAGATATGCTCCAGGGAAAAGAGCAACACAGAAGGCTTGAACAAGAGGAAAAGAGAGAAGACACTGAAAAGGAACAGGCCAAAGGGCAGGGCAGGACAGACAGGAGCAGAAAACCTGGGCCAAAATGCAAAACACCAAGTGGTCTCAAGAGCTCAGGCCAGTGCTCCACCTTCTCAATTCATTCCAGAAAAATCAGCCTGGAACAAGGGGGAGGAGGGGAGGAGTAGGAAGCACAGTGTTTGGTAACAAAAATAGAAAGGGCTGGGTGAGAAAACAGGAGACAAGAGACATCATTCTAATCAGCATGAAGTGCCCGGGGCGATGACCAGCGAGACAGGAGGCACCTAGGGACCCTGTGAGGCACCAACTATGTAGCCAAGTGTTTCTAACGGAGAATCCAGGGCCCGACCACCTGACACCCACTCTGGCCTTCACCTGCCCTACGTCTGCAGCAGCACCTCCGGCTCAGACAATGAGCAATAGAGAGTGTATCCCAATTCGTCTATTTCTTCAGGGGTGAGCTCTGCAAATAAGTTCACCTTGGGGTTCAAGACGCTGGGCAGGACTCCGGCCTCTAAGTAGCTGATGAGTCCCCTCAAAGCCTGCAGGAATCGGTCGGCCAGCATATCTGGAGACCAGTCAGCCTCCTCCTGAGCCAAGTGGAGGATGACGTTGGTGAGCTGGCTGGCAGTGAGGTGGCCCAGCGCTGGAGTGGACTTGCATATGGCCTTCAGGATCTTGAGGCACAGAGATCGGCAGCCTGAGTCGGCCTGGTCCAAAGCCCGCAAGCGTGCTGTCTCAGCAGGACGCAGGCTCAGCCGCCACAGGTTGTCATACTGGGCTAGCCGGTGTGGTCTGGCCACCAAGACAGTGTCACCAAGGGTCACTGATGGCAGGAAGTCAATGACGAGATGCTTGTCACGCTCATACTGCACTTCCAGCGTCAGGGCCTCTGGGGGTGGTGCTGGTCGGATCACATAGTCCAAGAGGGACCCTATGGCCGGCCAGTTGATGGAGCCAGCCACTACCTTCTCAAACGTGTCTGCCACTGTCTTTGGGGAGAGGTAGCCCCCCACTACACAACGGTCCCAGTAACTGCTGCCACGAGGAAAGTACTCCGGGTTCTCACGACGAAGCAGGAAGAAGCCAGGGACATTCATGATGGTGTCCTCGCCAGGGATACACGACCACAGGTTCTGCTCCAGCACTAGGGGGACGATGAGCTGGATGTGGTCAGCTGTCACCACCTGTCGGAGCAGAATTAAAAAGATTTTGAGGGACTTAATCTGCTCAAGAGACAAGCTTCCCCAAACACAGGTCCTGCCATCTTGTGTTCCCCCAACAATAAAGGAAACTGAGAATTCGTTCATGTCACCGCATCAATTCACACAGTGTGAGGATGTAAACTCAGGTCTGTCGGACACCAGAGTCCGTGCTCATTCCATATGCCACATCATCTCTGGACACAGAACACGTGACATCCCCCGTGCCTTGAAGACCCAAGAGAGAAAACTAGAAAAGAGAGATGGGGACAAGAATATAGGAAGAAGGAGGGTTCTTACAGCTTCCTAGAAGTTGTGAGTATGACTAAAAAACAAGAAAGGATCAAAGAAGACTCAAGATAGGGATCTCCAAATGCTACTGCAATGTGCAGAATTCAGAAGCAGGGAGACCTGTCTTTTGGGCAAGCCTGGGACACTGGTCTTCTGTACCAACTGCACTAGTGAGAAGTACCTGATCTTGGTCAGTACCCGACCCTACCCTCCGTGAGAACCGCCTTGTTACCTGCAGGTCATCGTAGAGGCTGCCACTCAGGTACATGTCCCGAAGTGGCATGTCAGGCAACTTGGCCCGCAGGAAGCTCCGGAGTTCGGCACATATGTCCACAGCAGCTTGCTTGGCCCGAGCCTGCTCGCCAGCAGGGATGGCTGCCCGGTTCCGGTAGTAAGTAAGAAGTTTCTCCTGCAGGGACATGCGGAGTCGTGACTTCTTCAAGTCTACCTGGCCCTTCCTGGCCAATGGCTTGGGTCGGGGTGGGCAGAATGTATCTGCCAAGGCAAGAGAGAGAGGCACGTGAGCTCTTCCCATGCTTGCTTGCTCCATGGCTGCCTCCGCCCCAGAAAGGAGAAGGGCTTGGCACAAAAGGCCAGTCTAGCACGGTGCCTGGCACATATGTGCTCAAGGAAGGTTTGCTGAATGCAGGGGTAGCACTGACTGCTTAGAGATAAGCCCCAGCGGGGTAACAGCCTTTCTCACCTGCGTCCAAGGCCGAGGAGTCTGTGGGAAGGGTCTGCAGGGACCGGCTCAGGCCTGTCCTCATGTCCTTGCTCAGCACCCGGGGGGAGCCCATCCAGTTTGGCTCTTCCCAGCTCCTCTTCCCTGCACAGCTCAGGCGGGTAGGGCTGGTCGGGGCACTGATTGCCCTGTCATACATCTGAAACAGCAGAGAGGACCGGCACACACACCTTCCTCCCTCTGCTTCCCTCCTTCCCGGCAGCTTTGCCCTAGTGAGTGCAACTACTGTTTTTCGATAACTTTGTTTTATTCTAGATTATGCAATACTTTGCTCCATGCAGAAAATCTCAGGAAATACTAAATGATGTAAATAAGAAACAGATTTATACATAATGTCATAACCCAGAGATAACTGTTAATATTTTGGTGTATTTCTTTCTGAAAATATCTATTTATGTAATTAGGATCACACTCTATACATACTTTTGAAACCTGATTTTTTCACTTATCACTTTTATCATTTCCCCACATCACTAAAAATGAATCCGTGTTCAACACTATGGTACACTCTGACCATACAACGTTGTACCTTATGAATGTACCACAATGTGGAACATGGATTCATTTATCTAACAAATACTTATTGAGCGGCTACTATGTGCCAGGCAATGTTCTAGGTTTCTGACAATCAGGCAGTAAACCAGAGAGCCAATCCCTACTCTCGTGGAGTTGTCAGTCTACAAGGAGGATACAGGCAATACATGATAAACAAGTTGAATACAAAGTATGCAGACAGAGATAAATGTTGGAAAAATAAGGTAGCAAAGGGAAAGAGGAAGTGTATGTATGGTGGGGTTGTTGCTATTTTAAGTAAGATAGTCAAGGAAGGATCTTTTGGTTATTTGCAATTTTTTACTCACTGGGATCAACTTCTTTATTTGTAGCTCCAACAATTTCTTTAGGGCAGAGTCCCAGAAGCAGACTCACTGAATTCTCTCAGGGTTGCGTCTAATAATGCCAGATTACCAAGTTTCATGCCTGTCAGCAGTATCCGAGTCTTGCTCCAGGTCAGCTCCCCTTCGCAGAGGCAGCCTCCCCACCCCTCCCACCCCAGGCCCTGGCTGCAGGCACTTACCCGCTTAACAGCCAGCGTGGCGATGCCCAGCATGGCCGCTCCCCCCACCCCCAGCACCAGCCGGGCGTTGGAGAGCACGAAATCAATGGCCGTGCCGATGCCATTGTCATCCTTCTTGCCTTTGCGCTCACCAGCGCCTGCCATTGCTCACCTGAGGATGAAGGCAGAACACAGCCGTCACCACCTGGGACTTCAGGAACCGTCCCTCCTGCCTCCCCCATCAGGCCAGGCCCCAACAAGTTCAGGGTACTCTGAGTGCCAGCAACCCAAATCCTCGTGCCTCGAGCACCGCGTGCTCTAGGGTTGAGAGGGAGGTATCACGTCCCATGACGTATCTGGATGCAAGAGGGAGGAACTGATCACGCTGACTATGGGAAAACCTCTCCACCAACCTACTGAGATTATGGAAAGCATTAGCTCACTGTCAATCCTTTCTTGCATTAGAGTGAAGTACCCACCATGCAACACTACCCTCTCCCTACCCCTTCCCAACGTGATAATGCAGATCCTGCTTTGATCACTTGGCCATTATTTTGTGGAAGGTTAGATCTGAGAAGGTCTAGTCTAATAGATTAGATTAAAGGAGGCTCATCTAATCCCATCGCATCACTTCACACAGGAGGAGGTGACTAGCCAGAAGTCCCAGAGAAAGGGAATGGCAGAGCCATCTCCAGAACTCAGGGCTCCCAACTCCTAGTATGAGTTCCTTGCCCAAATCCAACTGTGCCTATTCTATCTACTTGTGCAAAAACACACACACACGGGGCCGGCCCGGTGGCGCAGTGGTTAAGTGCGCACGTGCCACTTCAGCAGCCTGGGGTTCGGATCCCGGGTGCACACTGACGCAGTGCTTGTCAAGCCATGCGGCGTGCCATATAGAGGAAGACAGGCACGGATGTTAGCCCAGGGCCAATCTTCAGCAAAAAAAGAGGAGGAACGGCAACAGATGTTAGCTCAGGGCTAATCTTCCTCACAACACACACACACACAAAATAACAGGGACCAAACACTGTGCAGATGGAGACCTAACTACAAGTCCATATGTGAGAAAGGTCCAAAGATGAAAACTCTCTGGGGACACTCCTACGTGACAAATGCTTTGTTTCTTGGGGAAAGTGTGCAGGAGGACGACAAGCTCAGGTGAGGCTAGCACTGTGAGACTGAGAATAAACACAATGGACCCTGCAGACTTGTCTGTTAACTGGGGAAAAAAAAATCCATCTGCTCAAATGCACTTGGAAAATGAACTAAAAATGTGGTCACCTAAAAGGAGCTCACAGGCACAATACAGAAGAGGCTGGCCTCCCGTACAGTGCTCCAGCGAGGCGGGCACACACTTGCTCCCTGGCAACAATGGACTCATCCTGATTGAAGTTCTCCTAGTCCCCAAATAAGCCCATTTCCCATGGCGTTGAACTGGGGCCCAACCCAGATGAAGGGTGGCAGTGGTTCAGATCTGAACAGTGCTCTTCACTGCTCCTCTCTTCTGACTCCCGTGTCCTGTACCCCAGGAATCACACAGGGAGAAACACAGCTGTATACCCCCATTCAGGGTCCCAACAGACCCAGCGTGGGAGGATGGAAAGACAGGATCTCTGGGCGCGTCTTCCAGTGCAAAGTAACATGCTTTCTAATACCGTTACACCTGGGTATTGCTAGTTTCACATCTTGTGAAATATCTAAAGAAATATTTCAGACTCTACTTATTCCAGCAATTGAGTTAACTAAAAGTCGTTGTCAAGTCCAAAAATATTTTTTCCATAACTAGAGTTTACAACCTTGGTGACACTTTTCTTTCCTCCACCTTTTACAGGCAACAGAAGCTTCAGGTTTAGGGACATATTGACTCCCCCCTTTTTTTTTTGTGAGGAAGATCAGCCCTGAGCTAACATCCGATGCCAATCCTCCTCTTTTTGCTGAGGAAGACTGGCCCTGGGCTAACATCCGTGCCCATCTTCCTCCACTTTATATGGG